TATCTAGAGATGATGATTGAGTAAATGAAGTAGTGGCAAGGAGGTTGTTAATATACACTTTATTCACTTGTCTGGCCATAGCTGCTATTTTTCTTTGATAGCATGCTTGACTTACCACCATTGCTTTCTGAACCTAAACCTTAGAAACCCCTCCATCTAATTCTCTTTCTCTAACCGTATGTCTAGTGGCTAGAGCAAAGAATCAATCCATCTGCTTTAGCCCCAATTCCCTAAACATTGATCCACTTTCAAATAAACAAACAAAGGTCAGTCAAGCTATATAAACCAGAGAAAGACCATGGATGCCTACAGCTAGCCTTTCAGCAAAGAAAGGGATTGGCCCATCCTAACTCAAATTACCATCCTTGAACCATCCTCACGCCTGAAATCAAAGAAGATGATGGATTGTGTAAAGAATGAGAGTTGGTTTTTGTGGGGCTTAAAGGAAAGCTAAGAAAGACAACATAAAGAGAAGCGAGCACTCCTTAGAAGGGAAAAGACCAGGATTGAGCAACGATTTAGACCATCCTCCTAACTATGCCTGAAATAGCTAAACAAGGTAAGAGGACTGTCTTTCACGGAGCTGCTGCTACAATAAGGCCTTCGGTAGCCAGAGGTAGAGTTCTTCCATTCAAAAAGAAAGAGAATTATCCCGCTTTGAACAAGAGGCATGCTTACTGGTCTTATCGATGATTGGATGTCCCAAAGGTGCTCTTCACGGCGAGAAACCTAGGGAGTGATGAACGGCTTGTTATCAACAATTGAAGAATGGCTTTGCTTGATTTCCTACCCCTGACTTCTGCTGTTCTCTTTCTTTGAATGTGAAAATGAATGACTTAGTTCAAAGAGAGGTCAATGTCAATTGATCACCTCTGTCGGTAACCAAATGTACTTGACTTTACATACACGTTGTTGGGGGCACTCTCATTTATTTGAAGAAAGCACTTCCAGGAGGTAGTCCCTTGACCTTTACCATACATGGATAAGTCATTTGTCGTACAACGCTTGCCCCCTAGCTTCTTGACGCTAAACTACTACAAGATAGCCCTCCATACCTCTTGAAAAAAAGGAGAAGAAGGAGAAGTAGATGAGAATTTGATAATAGCAGGCGCAGGGGAGAGTCCGAGTATCTACTACAGGGCCAAAATGAGATAACAGGGCTCTCCCCAATGATAGCTCTCCGATAACGTGGAAAAAAGAGACTCGACTCCCTCTCAAACAACTTGCGGATTTGAATTTGTGCTATATTTCTCGAATGGAATTCGCGTGGAGCCAACATCACACGGTCTCTCTCAAGAAAAAGAATATGTTAATTGGCTACTCCCCTTCGAGAAGGCTAGCAACCTTTACTGCCCACACGCTTCGCACCTGGGGATTAAGGACTTGGAGACGAGGATTGATTTCTGGCTGTCCTAACAAGCCAAATAGCGTAGCGTATAGAAGAAAAAAAAGGTATCCAATGATCGCCTATACCCTCAGTAATGGACTTCCTTTCATTCTTCCTTAGCCTTAGATGTCCTTTTATAGATTCTCGAACCTCCGACAGACAAAATCTCTATGCATGTGTTCTTTCTTTCCACATCTCTTTTGGTCGTTTTTGTTAGGCATTGAACCCCACCTTAGGTGCTGAGTAGTGTCCCCCCCTCCCTAATACCTAAAAAAAAGTTTCGTCTATGGAGCCTAAAGCTTAAACCATGGCATGGCAGTAAGCAGTAAGTGGGCCTAGTCTTTGCCCAGTCTTCGCCTTCTTTAGTGGCCAAGTTTCAGCGTTCAACGTTGGCCTACCACCTTTCTTTTTCAAGGTTGAGCTTCTTCAATTCAAGTAGTGTCTTTTTCCTATTCTTATTGGTAAATAGTATCTGGAAGCGAAGGCATTAATGAACGAAAGAGATGTCGGGTCGGTCAATTGCATTAGGTAGGAGATGCAGGACCTGTCTTAACCGCAAGTGCATTCGCTATTCAATTCCATCCTTGATCCCACCCTATTAAACTTCCCAAGGTTCTCTCTCTTTTTGTTTGACTTTTCAGTGAAAAAAAGGGGGGTGACAATTGGTAGACTTTCTTTTCTATGTCGCTGTCTCAATAATGAGCGTAGATTGATAGAGATGGCTTTGTGCTGGTCAATCTGTATCCCATTCTTCACGTATAGTTTTCTTTGATCACAGATCGGCGGGTGATCCATACTTTCGCCCCCTTTGGTCAGTCAGTCGTCTTGATCCGCCTGAGGGTCTTGAGCTAGCTTCCTTGAAGAGGCTTGATGGGAAAGAGAGGTAAAAGAACAACCTAAGGAAGGTACCTCACAAGCTTTTGGATTCCATGGCTAAGGCTGACTTTGGCAGATTTTAGGTGAGGGTGGAGGAGTAGGATAGGAGGTGAGTGGTTGATATAATCTCAGTATTATAGGGAGATTTTGGCAATAAGGGTGGTGCTAGGGCTCAAGATAATTTGGAAGGGGGAGTGAGTTGGATCATAAATTAGAGTTTCTTCCTTTGTTTGAAGAGGCAGAATCCTATTGGACTTGAGATAGGAATGGCTAAACTGATTGTCCCAGGAAGAAAGCTAATGAAAGCAAAGGTCAAGAATATCATCTTGGTTTAACAGAATATCTCACTTGTCTCTACCGTACTATGATTGCTCTCTATTTATAAATAAACGGTGCTCCTCTCCCTCTCCAACTATCGATCTCGCAGCTTCGCTCCTTCAACTGATTCAAGTGATTCAGCTATCGGTCTCTTTCTTCTCTGATCTTTCATTTTCTTCTTGATATTACCTTCCTTTCCCTTATTTCAGGGGGTAAAGCACTCTCTTATCTTTTTCTCGGTAAGTTGGTCTTTCTTTCTTTCTGCTCCATTGGACTGATTGAAGGAGGTAAAGCACTCTCTTATCTTTCACTCGGTAAATAAATAGGCTTAGATTACCTATGGGTCTCACAGCTTGCTTCGCTCCTTCTCTTTCTCTAATCTTTCTCCTTATTCATCAAGAAAAGACTCGAAGCTTTGCTCCCTTTTTCACTCGGTCTCTTTTCAAGACTCTGAAAATGAAAGAAAGATTTGCTCATGAACCTAAACCTGCCCCTTCACCAGTATTACCATAAGTTATTGTTATTGTGAGTTATTCAAACACAGTAAACAAAGACGAAAGCGAAACTTTGACGATATTCCCTATTTTTGAGATCATTGAATAAGGAAAACTCCTGAACTTGTCCCTGATTTCACTCTTTTACATAGGTTGGATGAGAAAGTGTTTCATTGAAAGACTGAACCTCTATTCCCTGAGCTACTGAACCGGAAGGGAAGTCAATCCTCAACTCCTTATTCATTGGACTGATTGAACTCGTGTAAAGACCATTTCTTATTTAGTTGATGATCCATATAACTGTAAAGTTTCGTAAGAGCTTTTTCACTAACAACTGCATAGGAAATTAATTCTTTTGATGCTCTATATAACTGTCAAGTTTCGTTAGAGCTTTTTCACTAACAGCTGCATAGGAAATTCATTCTTTTAATGCTCCATATAACTGTAAAGTTTCGTAAGAGCTTTTTCACTAACCAAAGCAGCTTCAATTAATTAGAGTTGATGCTTTACAACTGTAAAGTGTCATTTTTGAGTTAAAGAAGAAGGAACTGGCAGGCAGGAAGAAAAGAAAGAGAAGCTCATGAACCGGAACCTTTACGGAAAGAGAATGAATTGATTGAAGAATCAGACTCGGACAAGCTTAATTAATTATCCTTAACTACTGTGAGCCTATTTATTCTTTCACTGTAAAGTGGCTGGCTTCTCTCCTGCCCCTGAGTATTCCCTTCCCTTATTTCTAGAGGTCAAAGTAAGTAGCTCTTTCCTGAACCTCGGCTTCACTCCTGAACCTCTCCCTTATTCATCAACTCAAGACTCAACAAGAATGAACCTGAACCTAGTTAGAAACTCTTAGTTTACCTTACTCTCATTTGATCTTCTCTGATTTAAGGAAGAAACTAAAATATCATATATAATCATAGCAGCTCATCCTGACAGCTTCCATTTGATATTGAGAAAGCGGCGGGCCTCAATGAACTCTCCAATAGTGCCCTGCGGGGCCGGACAATCGAGTAACCTTAGATCGTCTAAGATAGAATGGAACTGTCTTTGATTGAGACTGCAGATAGAAAGTCTTCCGCTCATTAAGGAAGGAAAGACTGAACCTCAAACCTTTTCCTTCTTGAACGGTAAAGTGGCTTCGCTACTTCTCTTTCTCTTCTCTTCGGGCAAAGTGACATAGATAATAAGAGCAGCTCATCTTTACAGCTTTCATTTTTTATTGAGAAAGCGGCGGGCCTCAATGAACACTCCAATAGTGCCCTGCGGGGCTGAACAGTCGAGTAACCTCAGATCGTCTAAGATAGAAGAATGGAACTGTCTTTGATTGAGACAGCAGATATCAAGTGTTCTGCTCATTGAATTAAGAAAGGAAAGCTTTTTGATGGGAATATAGATATACGTCACAGTGTGCAGTTCTTTCATTAAAGAAGGAAAGACTCAAGATTCATTCTTTCTTTTCTCCTTCCCCTGAACCTCTCCCTTTCTTGAACTGTAAACTAAGACTTAACGAAGTCAAGACTCAAGATTCATTCTTGATCTGATCCTTGATTTCACTCTAATACTCTCCCTTCACTGTCAAAGATCAATACTCCTTATTCATTCGACTGATTTCACTCTTTTACTTTCTCTCCTGTAAGAAAGAAAGATGAATTCTCCTTCACTCCTTTTCCTATTTATTCTTTCACGAGGTAAATAGATTCAGTAGCTCTTTCATTAAGGAAGGAAAGATTTTTGATGGTCAGATTACTATACGTAACAGTGTGCAGTTCTTGTGAGTTATTCTCAGGAAGTGATTGTTCACCTCTATTCCCTCCGCTACTGAACGAACTCGGTAAATAGGCTGGCTTCTCTGCTTCAATCCTTCTTTCCCGAGGTAATTAATAAGGAAAGAGACTGAACTCCGAAACTCAATCCAATCACTTCTCTATTTATTCTTTCACTGTAAACTCCTTCCCCTTCACCTCTATTCCCTTGCCTTATTTTAGGAGGGAAACTCGGGAGAGCTGCTTCGCCACTTTCCGATTCATTCTCCTTCACTCGCATATTCAATATTTCTTTCACTCCTTTTCCTATTTATTCAAAGACTGTAAAGACTCGGTTTCGAATCTTTGATTGTTCGTTTTTCTTTCTTCTTTCTTTTCCTCTCCCTTCACCTTTTCCTATCCTTTAGGGTCTCTTTTCTTTTCTTTCCTTCACCAGATTGAACTGTGTGTAAACAAAAGGTTATTGTGTCTCACAATTCCATTGCCTCCCAAGCCGAAGGACAGATCTCATCACAGCACTTGCTTTCCCTTTAGTATCTCTATTGAGAAGTAGGGCGAGCAAGAGGGAATTCTCTAATCTGATAGCCTTACAACAAAGAAACTTGCTTAACGCACTAGCTTTGAGTTTCGACTGAAAAGCTCTTAGAAGTTCAAAACCAAAAGACAAAGTGCATCGCTCTCACGCTCGTCAGTAAAGTGAATTATTCGCCTTTTATAAAGGAGGGAGTGTTGTGTACTAATCGACTTGCTTACCATAACCGCAAAGAACGAACGGTTCTATTTATTTCTCCTTATCCATAACCATAAGGGCAGTAGCACCTTTCGAACGGTATAAGTTACGACTTCGCTTCCGAAAGAAAAGAGAGATTTGACTCTGATTCACTAGCATCCACTACCAGAAGGAATTTCTTCACTTACCGCCAACTATTATTCCCCTATTCCCATAGTTGAGCGTGGAAACAAGAACTTTCTTTCTCTCATGCCCTTTACCTTAAGCCTGACAAATCTCGTTTCACTTGACCTACCGCTTTCATTGCCCTGAAAGACTCTCGATCTACAGCCTTCTTCTCTTTCCTTTGAATTACAAACAAAGTGATCCACTTGAATAACTAATAAGGCGTAAAAGAAAGGAGTCTCGGTATTCATTCTTCTGGTAACGAGATCCAGATTTGGCTAGGGCGAGCGCTGTTTACTATGCGAGTGGAGAGATTGTTGCGAGCTAATAGCGAGTGGACTTTTCCCCTCCCTTTCTTTATCTTTAGACTTGCAGTAAAACGGAAGAAGTTTACTCAGCTTGCACTTGAGCTTTCAGCCTTCTTTTGAATCTGTCAGTAGCAAAATCCCAAAGCTACAAGAAAGAAGAGACTACAACCGCTACTTGCCCAATAGTACAGTGCCTTCCTCCCTGACTTGACTTTCCTAGCTACCAAGCCCCTCCCTCTTCACTTCAAACCCTTGCCAGAATGACGAAAGGAAAGATTCTCTGTGATATCGCTTAAATAAGGATAATCGGAGTGAAAAGCCTTAAATATCAAGCTTTAGCAAGGGTAGGAGTTATTTTATGACTTACGCCAGCACCTGAGACGAGCTTACCAGAACTTTCTCCCGCAACAATCAGAGTTTGACTTAGACAAGTTCATGATATTCAGAGCCTTTAGATGAAGAACGCTCTAGTAATACAAGTCAAGGAGAGGAAAGGACTCAAGATCCCGATCGTAGTTGTCAAGGTCCTACATATAAGCCTGAAATCCCAACATTGGGCTTGATATGCTTTCTCTTCCATTTCTTGATATAGATATTCTATTCTCTTTCTTTCTATTTTTCTTTCTTTTTAGGCCATGAAGAACGAGAGGGGGTAACAGGGGGTCAAAGTGACGAGACACCGGGCGTCGCCTTACGACACCAATAACAGTGATTTCTGATGAGTAGGAGGAAATAAAGGGGATTGAAATGGATCTGCCTTTTAGAGATAGGGTGGGAAAGACAAATCTCCCCCATAGGAGCAAACTCATTCCCACATTCGTTAGCCGCAGAGCTGGAAACGACAGCAACTTACCGGTTGGTCACTTTTGAAGGTATCTTTGGTGATCCTTTACCCTATTCATGGCTGACTGCGTACATCAATGTCTCCCAACTAATAAGGCGGACGACAGGTCTAGTGTCGCACAACGCCAATACTGTACAGAATGAATAACCCCATCCATTTACTATATGTACCGATGAAAATGAGAAAGGTAATAAGCCTTACGAACAAGGGGCAAAGCAAGGGTTGTTGGCAATGCGACATTGGCATCTAGCAAAGGACCAGTGAAAGCCAATGATAGGGCTTACCAATAGGTCGAGCCTACCTAATTTCACTTCTTCTTTCAGCCAATTTCGAGACCATTCGAAGTGCTGTCAGCCCAGGATGCCTAGAGCCGCACAACGTTGGGTTCCAACCGCGCAGGTTGTTGGCGGATAGGAAAGGCCAAGATCCGAACTTGACGTCCCAAGGAGTCTCTGTTCATCTTCGTTCAAGGCAGGACACATTTGACCCCAATCTTACATACAGTGGCTCTATCTAAGGCTACCAGCGGTCTAGATAAGACGCAACGCAGGACTCTCAATTGAGATAAGCTATGACTCTCCAACAAGGACTACCTATAAGGGCAGCAACAACAACTCAGCCCTTAAGACAAAGTCTATGGCCAGAACTCAGAAGGCGGTGGAAGATCCTTCGAAAGTGAGTAGCTAAGACCCCGGGGAAAGCATCCAAAGAACAAGGTAGAAAGAAAGACAGGATGGCGTTGAAAGTTGATAAGCCAAGCCAAAGGACGGCGACAAGGAAGATGGCAGCCATTAAAAAGAAGATATCCAGTATACTGAAAGACAGACTGAAGTAAGGAACGCAAGCCCCAGGACCTTTCATTGGGTGTGCTTCATCTCATATATATGCCTGCTTCGTAATTGAATGTGAACCTTTCATTGGGTGTCCGATGAGACCAGAGTCGAACTTAACCGTTGAGCCCGAGGGTTGTGTATGTACCCCACCGGGTAGAACAAAGGGTCGTAGTTAAGTATACAAAGAAAAGGGATAGTTGCCTTCGGGTAGAGGTTGACACCCGGCTAGCACGCTAACTATAACATTCAACCACCAAGATCCAAATAAAGAGGGTCGAAGGCTCGAGCAAGGAAGGGTGGCGAAGGAAACCCATAATGAGAATGTGGGTATCCAGACTCGAGAAAGCAGGAAATGCCATTCCAGGAAGATCGATAACAGAAGACCGGATAAGATTGAAGTATGAGCGCAAGCTTTTACTGCGAAAGCGAGCCAGCAGCTGGAGGATCAGAAAGGTAGGCCGGTCGAATGAGGGAGAGCCAAGCCAGAGTCTCAATAAACAGACTACGTCTTAAAAAGGATGGAAGGGTGGGGGATCCTGTGTGACCATGAAAATGGTTGTCATTCCAGTACATAGAAAGACGATGGAAGTCATTCCGTTCGTTTCTTTCAACCATTATTTCAATGCCCGGTTAGAACATCTAAGCCCGCCTTGATTCTATTCGTATATATTATCAAGTCTGCACGTTACCTTTCTTTACCGTTTGCCATTTAAGGGGGAGGGGGTCTTGGAACTCTGAGTCGACGAGAAGAAACTATTCCTTCTCTGTCCCAATACCTTATTCCCTCCAAAAGAAAATGCTAATGCCAACTATATATACTTAATAACACTAATGTAGCTAAATGAGAAAGCCTCTCTCTTATGGCTCGCCCGGGATCTAAGCGTATTGAAGTTCAGAAACGACTCCCTGCAGGCCAACGAAAGCTGTCAGTTGTGGACATGACTACTATTTAGCTAGGGTAAACTAACTGTCTAAGATAGTGGCCGTCCAAAAGAGGGAATAAAGGTCTGGAGATTCTTTCCTATATGTACTCTCCGATTCTTCTTCATCATCTTTTTTTCACTTTCTTTGTGGTACCTTTTTGTTGTCCTTCATTTTGAGTAATCAAACATTACGCTTTTCTTTCTTATTACTTTGTCTTGACTTGTCTTGGTGAATCAACCAGAACCCAATGAATAATGCGGGTCTTCGTTCAACTATTTCCCGGGACTTTTAGGTAAGATGAAAAGCAGCAAGCCCATAGCATAGGAAGTTGTAGCTCAGTCTATCTTTCTGCCCAAGCAGCAAGCTCATAGCATAGGATGTTGTAGCTTAGTCTATCTTTCTGCCCAGAATGAATGCCCAACGGAACCTACTCCACTGAATCGAGGTACTTTCTCATTTTTGGCATAAAGCCAAACAATTGCTTAACAAATGTATCTCAGGCTATCAGATATACCGATTTGCTTCAGTGAGAAATTTGGCCGAAAAGTTCTTGAAGCTGAAGTTCTTGTACCCTATTTGAAAACTGTAGGATAGCGGACCCATATGAGTTTTTTTCCCTTCTTGACAGCTTGCTTGATCGATACCCCAACCACGTGATCAAGACCCAAATGAGCATTCTTCAGAAATTCCAGCAGGATTCTGGACTCATTCCACACTAAGCCTGCCGCTTTCTTGACGGGTCTTCACAGAAGGCCAATAAATTATTTTGAATTGAAATAATGCCGATTATCTAAGAACTTAGTGACGTTTCGAGGATGAAATCTGGCCATAGGATTGATGAACAAATATTGGACCGGAAAGCATCAGTTACCTCGTTCGTGCTCTCGCTGCCATCTTCGGGTCCCCCTATCTCCAAATTGAGCTTCTTTCGGGCAGACCTTCTACGATTCTCATTTGAAATGAGAGATTTTTTGTTTGATTGCTAGAAAGTCTGGGTCCGGGGCCCACTTCCGAGTCTTCGGGGATTTCTGTTTCAGTCTCTTCCCAACACAATTAGCGTTTTTTCGTAAAACCTCATTGATTCTGGTGTGCGAGTCCGTATCGCTGGTGGATGTTCTTCTTTCTTCCTTTCTTTCCCATGACGACTAGGAACAGACAAATAACAAATTTCACTTCCAATTTCGGACGACAAAAGTAATTTTTGGATTCATCTTCTTTCTCTTTTTGAAAGATTCTCCCGTCTCAATCATTCAAAAAGAATATCTCTGGCAAAAAGGAAATTTTTCAAAGAGAGCAAAAATCAGATGAAAGCAAGTGACCAACCAATTCCAACGATTGCAGCCAAGTTACGGCGTCCAACGGAGAGAAAGCCATTGTGAGAAAGCTCGTCCATCTTTTTGGGCAAAGGGGAATTCTTCAATCTGTCGTGATTCTTTCTGACCAACATCAGCTAGCCCACTTCATTTGAATTGGTCAAAAAGCCTCTTGCTCAACAAAATGTCTTATGCTACGACGTCATTCCTTTCCTTGCAGATTGATTAATTATCACCCTTTTTTTCGTGAGTCAAGGCAAGCGGGAGAGGAGCGAAGTAGTGAGACCGAGTTGCTCGAATCAGTTTCCCCTTTATTCATTTTTTTGGGACAAAGGAAACCTCCTTTAGTCTTGGCCGAAACTCAAGAGGGTTCAAAAAGCTTTTCAGCTCCCTCTCGGTCCCAGTCTTCAGAGCAAAGGCGGCCACTTCGCGGAGCTTGTGAAAAGTCTACCGCAAGCTTCACGACATTCCACTCTCCTCTGTCTCATTCAAGTGAATGGGTAGAGAGAATATGCAAAAAAGAGAGGCTAAGAAAGTCTGAATTTTCCACGAAAGCCGGCTCCTTCTCAGTCTCGATGCTTTTTTTTGGGTAACTACGAAAAATGGCTGCTCAATCAAGACTTGAGTCAAGCATGAAAGCCAGAATCTTTCATCAAATAGATTCCTATTCTCAGACCTAAGAAATGATGAGAATTCCTCTCCTTTACAGTCGAGCCGCTTCGCGCCTCTTCTCGTCGAGCTGCTTCGCCGCCCCTCTCCTTTCTTTACAGTCTCGCTACTACTATTAATGATCCAGAACTCCTACACCTATCCTTGACTGTGAAGGGAGAGTAAAGAAAAGAAAAGAGAATTAATTGATTGAAGAATCTAATTCAACATTAATGAGACTTAACCTCGGCTTCTCTCCTTCACCTTCTGGAACTGTAAACAAAGACTGAACCGAAACCCTGAACCTGAACCTCTATGACCTGACCCTATATACTTTATTCATTCAATCCGGAATAGGAAGTCAAGACTCTCGATTCATTCTCCTTTACAGTGAAAGAATCAAGGAGCTGCTTTTCAAGACTCAACAACGGTTCTGCCTGCAAACTCTGAGCGGGCTGCCAGGTTTTGCCCTATTTATTTAATTTTTGACATCTTTGCCCAGAATTGAATGGGCATAAATGGCCAGGTGGATTGAATCCAATCCCATCCATTGCTCTTTTTCCTTCTCTCCACGAAATCACAGACGGAAGTAAGAAAGAACGCTACTCATCAACGAATTCCGGCAAAGATAGAAGATCCAACTACATCAACAACCGGGGGGAAATTCATCGGTCCTACCTAATTCAATGATTAGAATAATGGAGAAGGGAGAGATCTTCAAAAAAACCTATACTCCTACTTCCCCTTATGAGAGATTTCCAAGAGGTGAGATTTCGCAACCTATCTTACTAATAAGAAAAAAGGGGGTGCGCACCATAATAAGAGTGAGCGCTCACTCTTTTGGGGAGAACCGCATCGAGACAAAATCAATCAATGTTTCGGCCTACAGGAGAGGCATCTGACTTTCCTACTGACTGAATCACTTGAATCAGTTGAAGGAGGTTTCTACAGGAAGAGTTGCGACTCCACATCGGGGCGGGCGGGGGTTCATTATGAGTGGGCATGAACTGTAACCAAACAAAGAAAAGTCAACCAACCACGAATTCCTGAACAGGGAACCACCCTGTAAAGTCAAGAGCCTCGCCTAAAGGACCAGACCCGGAGCTGAGAACAAGATCGAAAGCGCAACTTCTCATTCGAAGCATGAAAGTGGTCAGGTCACAACAAGCCGGAAGAGAGAGGAGTGGCCTTCTCACAGGTTGGGGGTTGCTCGAAATCTGTCAAATACGAGCCCTTCCTTCTATAGTCAATCTACGACCTACCTCCTCGATACACCCACAATGGCCGATCTTTTAAGTGAGGGAAGCCGGAGCATTGGTCAAGAGATAGAAAGAAGAGGAACTATAGATCAAGAAAGTCACATTAGCTACACCAGACCAGATACACCTTTTTTTGTTATCCTCTTTTTTGACTGACCGGATCGGTCACCCCTCAACCAACTAAGACATTTCTTCATCAATTCCTCTCACCCCCCTATCACAACAAGGCAGAGCTAACCCAACATTCTACTGCTCTCTAAAACCCATTCGACGAAGCAATCTTGGACCCTCTTGGCTGCGCTGTGCTTGGATGCACTTGTATTCCACACGCCAGCGATGAGATTCAAACCGCCCCCATTCAGTGGTTCCCGTGCCACCACAATGGCATGGCATCGAAAGAGTGACCGGAACCTGTCCCTGACCAGCTCGTGAGTAGCATCCCGGGTCGGCACAGCGTAGCGTCAAAAGCAGGTATTTTTTGATTGCTCCGCTGACCTTTTCTAGGCCTCCTTCCTGCGGAACTGGATTGTCGATATCGACCGAATTTGTACTAACTGAAGAAGACAAAAGCTCTTTTTTCTGCAAGACTGCCTTTGTTTGAGAAGCCCTATCCATTGTCTTTCCTGCTGATCTTATTCAGACCCCAAGTGATTCCCTATTCATCAATTTGTCGATTTGATTTTCTTCTTCATTCAATATATGAAAATGGCAGCTTACTAGACAAGGCAGAAGGTTTATTCTTTCCATAGATGCCCGATTCCTTTCCGATATGCGCTTCCCTTCCATCCGACTACACTGAACTCCTCCTAAAAAAGCGCGTAAGGGGCAACCAACTCTTTCCCCTTATCCCTCTCACTCCCTAAGGAATGAAAGGCCACATCTAAGTCCAAAAAACTGGAATACGAATGAGATCCACAATGCCATCATTGTATGGCCGATAGTAGTACATGGCTTGACTTGGCATCTTTCCTATCTTTCTCTTTCTCGAAGCAATTTGACCCACCCCTCTCCTATCCTGCCACTTATGACATTAAGAGCTCCAAGGCTTGAATACCGTTTTCACTGCCCGGATTATGCAACTGGTCGAGCAGCATACTTCTTTCATCTCGAGTGACTATATCCCCGGAGCTGACCGAGCAAGACTTTGTGTTACGTCTAACCAGGTGTATCGCTCACGAGTAAGGGAATCCAAATACGACTCCAGAATGATATCAGCCTTTAAGCGCAAAGTATCCGCGGAATCCGATGCGGGCAGGTCGAAGCCAAAAAGTTCGGGATTTGTGGCTGGGTCGGGATGTGGTTCTTCAATTTCAATTGACTAAGATTCAATTTCATTCTCTTTGGTTTTTCCAGTATCTATAGAATGAGCACTGTTCACTATTTCAAAAAGATAGTTGGTTGAATGAAACGGAAACCTTCTTTCTTTTTTCCCATCTATCACAAGGGGGGCCTCAGGCTCAGGGACGAGTTCAGGAGCAATTAGATTAGATGACGATGTTCTTTCTCCAATTTCGCTCGCTTGGAATCGGGCTCAAATTCTGGGCCCTCCTCCCTTTATCGTTTACTGAGTGAGGAAAATGAACCTCTATGGCAAATATATGATAAGGTAGGTAACACCCAAAAGGACAGTCACCGTGTAGAGAGCAACTGAAAGGGCTGTGTTTTCCTCCATCTTTCTTTCCCATTTTGAGGATCGAAATTTCCTGCGCTGTGTCCGTGCCAATAGTTAGATCCTAATTCGGCTACCTCTCCCACTCATCAAGGCAGAACATCAGAAGTGAAACGCCAAGGGAGCTTATCAAAGAAGGTACGCTTTCTTTGCCCCTGAACCTACAAAAGGATCAGTTACTAGAGTGTTGCGCTTCTCAGGGCCGAGTTAGAGCAACCCCACCGAGGCGATCCAGTCACCCGTAGAAGAGTTGAGTTGTGCTTACTTATTACGATTACACAAGCTCACCTAAAGGCCTGAATAAGTAAGGTCAAGGGGCGAAGCAATGAGACCGTAAAATAGCTTTCCCTTGTTTACGAGGGGTGAAGCCACGAGACCGAGTTACATCAGTCAAAGGTGAATAAGTCAAGTACGAAAAGATCATTAATAAAGACAGAGGAGTTGCTTGCCCGAGCTATCTTAAAGTCAAGCTCTCTGGGTTTCCCCTCCCTATCTATACAGATAGAATAGAACTTTTCATGGATTTAGATACATTCATTCCATAGATTCGGAGTTTTGGGGCTTAAAAAGCTCGTCGACTCTTCCCTTCGTTCCTTTTATCTTGGACATCTCACTTAAAATGCTATGAATTCTTTTCGATCTTGTACTAGCGCTTAATACCAACCCAATCTCGATGAAAAAAGCAAAAACGTGCGCAACTACGTCAAAAACCTCTATTCCTGAAGTAAACTCTAGTCGCTCTCGCTCCGCTCATATACTATTCGAAACTGAGAAAACCATCAAAAGAATCAATGGTATACCGTCTGCCTGATTTTGCAGAGCAAAGACCCCTCCGAAGGAAGTAGTCTTTTAGTATAGAACAGAGGCATTCTGAGCCGACTACTACGACTACATGCGCATCTAGTGCAGTGGCTTGGAAGCAAGCTACCTTGACCATCTTCCGAAGAAAAAAAGAATCGACTGATCAAACGCGGGCGGACGGATTGCTCTACATTCAGCCACGCCACTGTGACCCCCGATGCGATCTTCCTCTAGTTGCGGGATGAAATCCGGCAGCCAATTGCTGGCTCTGAATAACCAGCCCTGCAATCAGTTCAATTCTTCCATAACATAATGGCGGCAGCCAATTGCTGGCTCTGAATAACCAGCCCTGCAATCAGTTCAATTCTTCCATAACATAATGGGGTGGGGTTGCGCGCGAGCCGAGTGCCGTAGGTGCACAAGAGTACTTCGCGCCACAACCATCTCTTTTTTATAGGTTCTACGGACTGATGCCTGATGCTGAATCTGGGAGAAAAGAATCATTGATATGCCGGTCATTAGAAGGAAGAACCACCATAAAAATCTTCCTTGTGTATCATCTGTAGCAAAACTATGAACGGGAGCTAACAATCCGGACCGTATTGAAAAGGTTCCTAAGACACAACATGGAAAAGTCACAATATGAAGAAACGGGGTCCAAGAATAAAGAATGGGTAAAATGACTGAATGAATACTAGCTGTGGCTAATACCCGAGGCAGAAAAGAAGCATTTTCAACGGGATCCCAAAACCACCAGCCACCCNAAGAGCTCCAAGGCTTGAATACCGTTTTCACTGCCCGGATTATGCAACTGGTCGAGTAGCATACTTCTTTCATCTCGAGTGACTATATCCCTGGAGCTGACCGAGCAAGACTTTGTGTTACGTCTAACTAGGTGTATCGCTCATGAGCAAGGGAATCCAAATAAGACTCCAGAATGATATCAGCCATTAAGCGCAANCGATTAAAAAGCACAGACATATCAAGATCCAAATTCGAATGGGTTCCTGGTCCTGGTCAGAGACCATTGTGTTCGCGCCGCCGGTCCAACAAAGAAGTGAAGTAGTGGTCTCTTTCTTTGCATTACGAACGACACGCTTCGCCATCTCCCTCCCCGTGTCCACTAGCCCTCCCGCCTAGAGGGAAGAGAAGGCAAAAAAGCGCCTCCGAAGCAGCATGAGCAGGCTTCTATTGCTACGCAACAATAGAGCAGGATAGCATTTTACGCCCACATCTTTGAATTTGAGGGTAAAAAGCTCGCTTCTTATACGGGATCCGTCCAGTAGAGTGAAGCAGCATTCCATTCTTTTCGGGGGCATCCTTCCGCATTGGCGGTNGAAACCTTCTTTCTTTTTTCCCATCTATCACAAGGGGGGCCTCAGGCTCAGGGACGAGTTCAGGAGCAATTAGATTAGATGACGATGTTCTTTCTCCAATTTTGCTTGCTTGGAATCGGGCTCAAATTCTGGGCCCTCCTCCCTTTATCGTTTACTGAGTGAGGAAAATGAACCTCTATGGCAAATATATGATAAGNAAGTGCCACAATCCCATTCATCATTTTGGATCTACATAAGCCAAAACCCATAGCACTGGCGACGTCTCCGGCATAAATGCAAGGAGGATGTATAGCTGATATAGGATCTTGTGGAACAGGATTTGATTTTGCAAGCGGTTCGGTACGAACGAAGAAATTTCGAACAAAAGGATCGGAACTCGCTGATAGGAAAGGAGAGAAAAACAAAGCAATACCAAGAGTTCCGTCAATCCGCTGTTCATCAATAGATGAAGCTCTCTCTTTATCATCTCGTGCCAGATGCAAAAAAGGATGAGTCCTTTTTCCTTCTCGCGAACCACGGGAGCGCCGGGAGCCCAGAGGAGAAAAGCTCATTTTCCTTTCAAGGTAAAGCGGCGCATAAAAAAGGGTTGGCCCGTCAAAAGTCCTGTTCCTCCGCAAACGAAGTTCAGAATCAACAAGGGTTCGTAGAACGAAGGGAGTGCACAACAGGGGCGCAACCCCACTTTGATGTTCGTAACAAGGGAGATCTCGAATGGGGTTCTTCACGAAGTTCGAAAGAAAGGAATAAAAAAGAGTTTCTCTATGGCCTCCTCGTTTTGAGACATTATGGCTTCGGGGTAGACCCCGGTAACAAAGAAGGAATCCATAAAAACTTGGGATCCGACACCATGATAAAATACTACCCTCATGATTAGACCATGTCCCTGAGATTTGATAAAAGAAAGGTGCATTCGCGGTTAATACGTTGTAATTGGATAAGTTATTAGGAATATGACGGAACGAAAGACCAAAGAAAGAAAGAAGAATACACCAAAATGCAGGTGCTGCACCAAACGCTGGTGGTTCTTTCTTGTTGTAAGTAAATGCAACGAAAAGACCGGGAAATAACGAATAATGAAACAATTCATATATTGACATTTCGTGCTCATTTCCTAATGTATGCTTTCTTATTCCCATCATCCGGTAACCACAGGATGATCCACAAGAAAGGTGGCTGGATTCGAACCTATGGCCGGCCCGCCCCTGACCTGCTGGGTTGGGTGGTCGGGTTAGCACCCCTCGTCGCCTCTGTACCCGAAACAGATGCGCTGCGCTAACCAGCACGTAACCTTCTTTCCCCTACCCCTCTTCTGGTTATGCCATTACCAATCGCGGGTAACCCCCGGGCCGGCTGCCCCTGACCTAATAAGAACTATTATCCTTATGACCAAACAAGGACCAACTTACTTACTTCTCAAGCGATAGTTCCACGATCCCGACCATAAACTTGTTGGGAGTAGGGGCATCCAAACTTGCCCAACCACCTATACAAGGGGCTTGGAGATCGAGGGTTTTCTGGGGTAGATACAGTAGAATAAGGTTGGATTTGAAAAATAAAATAGGACTAGATAACAATTATGTGATGAAACTAGTTCGTTAAGAATTTTGTTGATCTCGTTAGACCTACACTACTATAGACGCAGAAAGGGACAGATAGTGCTTCGGAAAAATGGGGGTTTCTTATGATGACCTGGGAGAGGAAAGAAGCAGCTTTACCGAGGTTCAGGAGAGAAGCAACTTTACCTTGTTCAAGAACTGACTTTTTCTTAGTGCTTGCTTTACCGAGTTCAATTAGTCCAGGAGTAGCTCTCAAGGAATTTACTAAATTTTCATTTCCAAATCTCAAGTCAAGGCGAAAATGAAAGAAGAAGAATTGAGAATCAATAGAAAAAGAATCAGATAAGGAGAAAGAAAGAATCAGAATTGATAAGGATTGGCAAGAGGAGAGGAGCGAGGACAGTTTAAGCGTTAGAAGTAGCATAGCACGGTCAAGGTAGCATTCCCTGTAGCAGCACTCTAGTATTTAGTAAATTCTTTGACTAAGGCCTAGAATCACTCTCGAGAAAAGGCCTGATTTACATATGTGTGTATGCCGCTCCTGTAGTTCAAGGCAGGTAAGGGCTGCTCATGAGGGGGGGCACCATCACTCTGTCTCGAAGGCAGGTTAGTTAAGTCAAGTGCCAAGTCAGGGTAGTGCATTAAGGAGCTGCAACTATCGCATCAGCTAGAGCTGCATTAGGCATTGGAAAGGTGCTTAATTCCGAGAGCGCTTTTAGGCTTGAAGAGCGGGAGAGGATTGAATATGCGAGACTGTAAAGGAGAGGGAAGCATACGTAGGACAGTAGGCCCGAAAGCTGTTAGCAAGTAGGCGCTGCGCTGTATTGCTAAGAGGCTTTCCTTGTTTTTCACTTGTTCAATACCGGTCCGCTATGAGCAAAGCGAATAGAGGAAGGCCCGGACCGTTCCGGGAGTACCAACTACCATGTAATGTTGTAGCAACTATGTTGTAGTGAGGGGTAGTTGACTTCGTCATGTATTCTTTCGGAGGTAGGTAGTTCTGAGGGAGCCCCATGCGATGCGTATATATCAAGAGGACTACGGGTCCTCCTCCTCCACTAAAAGCTTTTCAGCTCCTTCTTCTTTTGGTATTCTAAGTCAATCAGCTATACATCCTCCTTGCATTTTGGTATGGTACAAATCGATTAGGAATGAGCGTAGCGCAGTAGCTGTTGTTCTTGTGGTCTGTATAGCAGCGTAGAGTAGTGATCTCTTCTCACAACCGTCTATCCATCTTCTTAGTTTAGTTTTCCTGTTGTATGTCTAGCTATCTGTCGCATTATCTTACTGTGTTCCGCGAGCCTCCTTGCTTCCTTAAGCCACCATTCAGGAGTCGAGGTTGAGTTGTCGGAGATCCGTTGAGGCGGAGACTAGTGCCTGAAGAGGGAAAAGAGAGTTCAGTGTTTGCAGCCTTAAAGCCTTAAATCAGGGAAGGAAGGCTTTCTTCCCGAACGGTCTTCATCCTTGGGCTAGACAAGAACTTCGTTGGCAAAATGTACCGGATTTGGCTGAAGCGATCATTGCTGCAGAAAGAATGGTAGATGACATGGAAAAACCTACTCATTCGCACAAACAAAGGGGAAACCTCTTCGAGGCAACAAGACGGGGGGAGTGGAGAGCAAAAGAAAGGGGAAGAACATGCTACCAAAGAGCTGGGAACAAGCCTGGTAAACCTAACAAAGAAGAAGGGTTGCGGTTGTTTCATTTGTGGAGGACCTCAAAGAGCCCGCCCGTGACTGCCCAAATCAAGATAAATTGAGTGCATTGATCGCAGATGACAGACAGGGGGAGAAGTTCCCTTCTGACCCCCCGCTTCACACATTCAGTCTTTCTTCTCCCTTACGTGATAGGGCTCTAAAGCCAAGTGCTTGCTTCAGTTACAGCCCTCCATTGAATGGGGTGGGAAAGAAAGGTTCGGAAATCTAGTTTTTTGCCCGAGTCCAGTGGCAATGAGGAAAGGAAGGACAGCTACGGAAGCAGGTCAGCCTAAGCTTAAAGTAAAGGAAAGGCCCTGTTCCAGTATTGGAGGAAGCATGGCATAGAAAGCAGGGTATGTCATGGGTTGTAGGGAAGAGGTAAGACGTGTACATGAAAGCAAGCGAGAGCAGAGCCTAGGGGTGTCCACGGATAAACCACTCCAAAGTGATAATGTCTCAAAACGAGGAGGCCATATGGAAACAAGCTGTTAAACTTCCAAGAGAAAGAAGATTGACCCAATCAAAGAGGCGATAAAATCTCTTGACTCTTGATCTTCTACAAATTTCTCAGCCGAAGGAGCTCTCTTTGTCTAATTCGTAGTCTCTACCCAGTGATCTTTCCTATTTGTGACTCTATAATGCATTCTCCTGCTGTTTGACTCTTCCGGAGCCATTTCTTTTTCTTTTTCATCTTCAGTATTCCCACGCTTTGTACACCTTTCTTGCCTGCAAAGAATGTCACCCTCTTTGGTGATGCTTACTTCAGAAAGAAAGCCATTAGTCTCACTCAATCAGTCCCTCTCTTCTTCTTCTTCCTCTGCTTCAGGCGTGGGCAGAGCTTTTTATGTCTACCCTATTCGGTTTCTTGATTCCGAGACGAACTCCACCGCATCTTTCTCATGCCGTTTCTCCTTCTCAAAACTATCTTCCCCACTGTGTCCTTCTGTAGATGGGATTGCCTTTCTGATCACCTCTAATGCGGATTCTTTCCCGGGTATATGGGTCTCCCAGAACTGTCCTTAGATGGGATGGGGAAGATTCATTCATCGCTGTGGAATTTGATACCAGTTTGACCCTTCGCTTGTTGACATCAATGGGAATCATCTAGGTATATAAGCGAGTATCTTTGGCTTCCGTTAATGTTGTTGAAAGGGGGATTGATTTGACCAGTGGTAGACAGATAACGGTTTGGATTGAGTACAGAGATGCAATGAAAATGATCCGGGTGTGAATCGGGTACTCGCCGATTAGGCCTACAAGTCCTCTTCTTCCCCAATTTACCTCTCCAAGCAATTTCAAGATTGAATGCATGTTGGTTTCTCTGCCTCTAACGGACAGGGCTCAACAGTGAACATTGTTGATTGGTGGCAATTCAAGACCTTTGGGTTTCTTCTCTCGGTGATTCCTATGGATACCAAGAAGGGGACTCTTTTTTGTGCTATTCTGAGGATGGATGAAAGCAGATAGGATTACCCCTTTCCCTTTGATCCTCATGAAAGAAGAAAAAAGGCAGTAGAGATGGCTCTTGGATTGGGAGGTTTAGCTGCATTCTTCTTCTTCTTCAATTCTTGCTGCAATCTCTTCCTGATAAAGAAGAAAAGACTGATGACGGTCAGAAGAAAGAGAGAGAAGGCCTCACATGTAGAGTTCAAACGAGTAGAGTACCCTCATCTCACTTGCGGGGATAAGATTAGCCCTTTAACATGTTTACGAAGACCTCCGACTTATTAGAGAAAGGGGGTTCGATCGAAACAGAATTGTTGGTTCAGGGGCAGGTTCAGGTGAATGAGCTTCTCTTTCTTTCATTTGTTTCGTCTTTCAAGCAGAATCAAATTCAATCAAAGAGCTACTGAATGAACCGAGTTTACAGTGAAAGAATAAATAGGTGAAGGATAATTAATTAATAAATAAGGAGTATTGATCTTTTTCTTTTACCGACTGTAACTGTAGAAGGGAGAGGAAAGAGACTGAACTACTGAACCAGAAGAAGAATCAGAGAATGAAAGAAAGATCAGCTACTGAACCGGAAGAAGAAGAATGAGACAGAACTACTGAACGAACCTCTATTCCCTCTCCCTATTATTCATTCAGAATCAGAGAATGAAAGATTAATGAGACTTTACAGTTCAGGGGGAATCAAATGAAAGATGAATTAGCTGACAGGAGAGTCCATTCATTCAATCCTTCAAGCAAGAGTAAAAGAAAGCAAGACAAAATGATCCTTCACAGTCAGTCAAGA